CTATATTTATTGCAGCAAGATGTTGGAAGGTGCATCTCCAGTAACCCAAGCTCTTCTGGGGACCTTACTGACATGGGGCCTCACTGCTGCTGGGTCTGCTGTGGTGTTCCTGCTTGCTGGAACTAAGGTCTAACTGATATTTAGAATAGAAGTTCTGCTTTGAAATATACAAAATGACATAGAAAAAATATTAATGATAAAGTAAAGATGATGAAATTTGAAATAAAGTTTTGAAATTTTATCAAATGTATTTTTCCTCAACAGCGAAAAGTACTTGACAGCAGTTTAGGTTTTGCTGCAGGAGTCATGACAGCTGCATCATTTTGGTCACTTCTGGCACCTGCCATAGAGCTTGCAGAATCCTCAGGAAGCTATGGTAGTGAAGGGGAATGGGCTTTTGTACCTGTGGCAGTTGGATTTGTTCTTGGTGCTGCCTTTGTTTATGCTGCAGATGTGTTCATGAGTTCAACAGGCAGTCATTCACCTAACTTTGCCCTTGGTATGTGTTTGATTAAGATTCTTTGGGTTTTAGGAAAGTGCACTTTGTGTTGGTTAGCCATTATTAGCACAGTTGAAAATAATTATATGAATACTAATAGAGTTACTGAGATTCTGATTAGGTAACTAAAAAAGTTCATCATTGTTGTCTTGTGCACATTATCTGGAATTTAGGGTCTTAACTCAGTAATTCCATCTTAATTGTGTAGCATGTCATGTGCTATACCATGCTACCCTCCATGTACCTAGAATGCAAGTCAGGCAGTGTTATCCAAGGACCACTTTGTGTAAACTATTTATTTTTTCATATATGTAAAAGAATATACCAACAAAAGTAAAGAGGAGGGATTGTAAATTCTTGTGCCTGCAAGTGTGTATGTGTGTGTGTGTGTGTGTGTGTGGTGGTGTGTGTGTGTGTGTGTGTGTGTGTGTGTGTGTGTGTGTGTGTGTGTGTGTATGTACATTCATATCATCATCCTTTGGCTCATACAATAAATCACAGAGATCGTCAGCATGTCTACATTCTCCTAAATCATCCTAATATGAATCTTCCTTTGATTTCAAAGCATTGTCACTTGCCCTTTAAAATGATGTTTACTCCAACAAAGTTTAGGCTGCTTTTCTTCTGATTCATTGCAAGGTCAAGTGATCAGATAAACTTAGTGTTGTCCAAACATTTTCAACAATTATACCCTTTATTACCTACTTGTACTGTTACGTCCCCCCCTGTTACATGAATAAAAAAGATGATTCATAGAACATGTGATGTTTCTGTGTGTGTGTTGTGTGTGTTGTGTGTGTGTGTGTGTGGTGTGTGTGTGTGTGTGTGTGTGTGTGTGTGTGTGTGTGTGTGTGTGTTGTGTGTGCGTGTGTGTGTGTGTGTGTGTGTGTGTGTGTGTGTGCTTGTGTGTGTGCTTGTGTGTGTGCTTGTGTGTGTGTGTGTGTGTGTGTGTTCCTTGTTTATTCACATACCCTTATGATCTATGTTGCGTACCCCTGGGGGTACGCAGACCCCAGTTTGGACAACACTGAGATAACTGATTCCCACATACAGTAACTTAATCTATTCTGAGAGACCACATGGCTTGCAATGATAGATCCTAATCATGGCTATAAAGCAAATATAAATAAATGAGATGTTTGGAAGTATGTGTGTACTTCCAATTATCTCTGCATGTCAGTGACTTTAATGTTGGAAGTACCTGCCTGCTTCCACATTTCCTAAGGTAAAAGAGTGGTTAAGGACATTTGGTACCTAGTCACACTTTAATAAACCGAATTAAAATGTTACATGGCATGTACCCATGAAACATTCAATTGAGCCTTCCTCTGAGTTATAAGTGAAAAATAGTTGTTTGCGTTTGACTGTGACGGTGGTTATTGAAGAATTACAGTCCCTCAAAAAATGTTCATATTTGGTTATGATTTTTGCACAATAATCTTAGGTATGTGAAATAAATAGCTTATGACCTGGTAGTGCTACTAATACTAGTTTATGGTACTATGAATTACACAGGAAAATAATCACAAGTTCTCTTTCAGTTCAGTTTAGTGACTTTTTTAAGTCATTATTTAAGACTGAAATAATCCATAGGACAGAAGTATTACTGTGGATCAGTAAATACACAACATATATGCTTTGTTACATTATGAGATGATTGATCTTTATCCACAGCAATGCAGTCATCTGCGAAGAAGACAGATGGAGATGATGCAAGAATACCATATGTATCAGCAAATAACTTCAGTAATGCAAGTATGTTTTGAGAATAAAAATATGAAAATGTATACATGTATTTGCATGGTTTTATTTATTAAATCTATTATTGTCCAAATGCTTAGTTCTTTTTCATTTTATTTTTATTTGTTTTTTTAAGTACATTAGTTTAAAAACAGTTCATTACTCTAAGTTTCTTTTGGCTATGTTTGTTTTAGTGATTACTGATTGATAAATCCTACCATTGTATCATAGGTGTGTGTGCTTGCATGTCTACTTGCACGA